GGGAGTAGAAAGCCTCATCTTTCTCCCGCGGAGCAGCTGGTAGTTTCGAACCGCTGACCTTAAGGTTCGCAGCCCGATTCGTAACCACTACGCACACAAAATATATGCACACAAAAAAGTTACCAAATCCTTTTTTGGAACAACCCTTCATACTTTGCGTTTTCAGAATTCACCAGCACTGCTCTGTTTGGTTCTCTTGGCCTCATCCCTTTTTTTTTTTTTTTAATGTTTTATTGTGAATTATGTGATAGTTTATGTGGGAGAACATTAGCTTTACATTCATTCTAGCATATATCGTTTCATTGCCATGGTTACAATTCCCTCCATGCATCATCCACCAACCAAAGGATATACCCTGCAAGTCTGCCCCTCCCCACCGTCTTCAGCACTTAGCCCCTTTCACTCTCTGGATCTAAAGTCCCCAGCTGCTCCATCTCTCCACGTCATCATCTCTGCCTCCATCTCAGCCATCACTGTTTCTCTGAGTATAGTCCTGCTTTCCGCTCTTCTCCCTTGATGGTTCCAAGGACATCCACTCCTAGACTGCAAAGTTAATCACTCCCCTCCTTTTGCTACAAAACGTCTGCCTTTACATTTCCAACCCTCACAATCAGTCCTGATAACAATTATTCACTATTGTATCACAAGAGCCCTATCTGCATCTCCTTTCATCAGCCCCACCTAGACAGATTGGATACTACTCAGTGGAGATTCTACCTTCCTCCACACCCTCTGGATCTAGGTTCCCTTGTGAAAGCTTGTAAGCCAGTCGCTTCTTGCCTTTGTAGCGCCTCCCCTCCACACACACACTTTGGGTAGCCAGTGTCCAAGTTGCCCATCCCTGTCTACTCTGTGTATGGAAGAGGTTGTTCCCTCTTTTGAGCTACTGCTTCCATAGGTGTAGGTCAAGTTCATCAAATTGTATCAGATTACTCTTTTTTTTTCTCTTCTTTCTTCTTCTAGTTGAGCTCTGATCATCCAGTCATTGAAGCCAGGATAAGAGGGTATTATCTGCAAGTGTGCATGTTCTTATGCATATGCCTTCTCTTCTTATCAGCTGGACGCTTCACTCTCCACTCTAGTCCTCTGTGGCTATGTCACTGACTCTGGGTCAAAGAGTCCCTAGGTCCTGCCACACTCTTGACCAACCAGGTCTCCATCTGGGTTTACAGGAGTCTACTGAACGTTGTAGGGCTTAGCTCACAGCTTCATGGCTGTTTTTCCCTCACTTCCCCTTATCGGTGATGAACGTGGTCACCAATCAGAGCGTGTATTCCCATTGTGTCTTAGTCTTGGGAGGGGGTTTGCCCTGAGGGGACCCAACCACTTGCCTTGATTTCTCTTGGGCAAGCAACTTTCTTGTTCTTGTAGTAATCAGTTGGGCTGCCTATATTGTTTTGTATTTTTCCTGTCAGGTCTTTATTTCAAGAAGTATCTTGTGTTCTTCTGGCTGCTCCAGGCTGATCTCCTTGTCCTTTCACGTGGAAAGGACACCTCAGAAGATTCTGGTTGCTGTTCAGGATTCCACCTATTGTCTTATGTAATGCAGAGGCTGCGCGGGAAGCCTCCTTCACTGGGCACGTTGTAGCTCCATTTTAGGTATTCCAATCAGTTATAGGAAGAAGACGGGCTTACAAGCTTTCTATGGTGATATTTCTGGCTATTCCTTTCTCTCCCCCTCCAGTGTCTATTTTATAATGGTATGTCAGGGAAACCAAGAATCAAAAGACAGCCAAGCATCTTAACATTATTTCTCCCCTTTTCTCCATTCCAATCATGTCTCAATCCCTGTATCTCAGAGCCCTGTTGTTCCAAGGTTGTGCTTACATCATTATTTACCTGTGTCTCACTTAACCCATGCAAATCTGCCTAATTGTTGTCCCATCTGCTTTGTTCTTCCATTCCCCTCCCCCTTCTTGTATATTGCCCCCCCATCCTCAGCACCCAAACTATCCCATGTCTATTCCCTCCCCTCACCCACCCCACACATCTCAGTAACCAGCAAATAATCCTCTCCCCGCCCTTTAGTAGGGATTCTTTTTCCTAGTCTTTTATAGTAGTGATCCTATGCAGTGTTTCTTCTTTTGTGATTGGCCTCACCCTTTTGAAAAGTGAATTTTATGGCTATGTTTCTGAGGACTTAACAGCTTTTTTTTCTCTCTCTCTTTCCACAATGGTTTATAGTTTGAGAAAATACCAGATGGTCCTATCCCTCCATCCACACCAAAATTTGCATATGGAAAAGTTGCTCTGAAAAAGGTAAGAAAAAACCCCAAACCAGAAGTATTCTGTTGAAAGTAAGACAGGAATGAGGAAGTGGAGTTTAGTGGCAGGGAGTGAAAGTGCTGTGCTGGGGAGTCGGTTGACTATTTTTCTGTGAATCTCTTTTCTGGGTGACTGATAGGATAAAGGGTATTTCTGGGGAAATGGGGTGATGGGAGGTGCAAGGACATTGTGCATGTTGATGGGGTGGGTTTAAGTGGGAGGAGGTAGGGGAGTTTGAAAGCATTCTAAATCATTGAGATCACTCTGGTTCAATTCTCAGTTGTCCAAAGTGTGCCAGCAGTCTTTGTAGAACAACATGCCCTGCATGAGGTTCTTTTTTACAATTATTTTTTTTCTAGATTGTTCCAAAAGCCATAGGTATTGTGAATGGTCTCTGCTCTAAATGATACACTTCCCCATCTCAAATTCATGTCTTATCATAGTTTTTATGGTAACTGGAACATTGGGACAGTGGCTTCACAAGGAGGGTGTGGGGTATGTGAGATTGTACCTGGTAATGTGGTAAGAGAGGTTTATAATATTTTTGTGCAGTGTTTCAGTAGAAACATATTCTTTGTTATAAAAGTATCCATGTATTTATCAAAACAAAAACATTTTTTGTAAGCCCAGCTTACATGTATTAATATAACTATAACACTAAAAACCACTATGCTAATTTACCGACTCCACGGCACATAACCACCACCAATTTACCTTCTAAACCTTCTAATACGCTCAGAGTTGTCATTATTTCCCAACTAGTGACATTCTGAATCATGTGATTTTGTCTGCATACACTGTAAACACACACTGTTATATTCATTGTTGTTGGTGTTTCTATAGCCAATGATTATGTAAAATTTTCTGGTGTTTTATCTACAGTATTGTGGTAAGTACTATATGTGAGCATCTATGTAATTCTTTTGAGAATTAAGTAGTAACCAATGGGAAGAAAGGCTTCTGCTCTGTTAATTTTGTAACCAATATGTTGTGATTTGGCATATAAAAAATTTTGTAAAACATTTTTTTGTTAGTATATTAAAATATTTAAACAATTTATAACAACTTCATATATTATTCTATGATTAAATCGGATAAACATTACTTAGGATTCTGTATGTTCTGGTATGAGAGGAGGTCCATGGTGGGGGAGGGGATGACACCTTGAGTTACCATACCCTGACACCAACCCTAGTGACATCACTGCATGGGCGGGGGGGGGGCTGCTAAAAATTACTCAGAAATAGGATTAAGGACCTGGTATTCTAGGGAAAGAGAAAAAGCAGAGAGGTTTTAGTTGAATATCAGAGTGCCATAAGCTAAAGTCAATTTGTTTTGACCATCTCTGTCTTCAGATTTTTCCTTTTATAATCCCTAACTCTTTCATGTTTTAACTCACAAGAAAGAAAGAAAGAAAAACACAAATAGTTATGTATTTCTTTATATATTTCTGAAGAATCTTGATACCCTAAAATAACATCGTAAGTTTTTATCTTTAAGTTAAATGCCAAACATGATGGTCTAATTTTTCCACTGGTGAAGTTCTTTGTTGGGCTCTCGTAACATTTTCCACTTAGTGTGAGATATGTGGGCCACATTCTACAAAGAATGTGGTCTCTCTACCTGATAGAAATCTTGCTTTAGATTAATCAAACTTTAATCACACTTGTAAAGGGAACACCCTCTACTTGTTCATCACTAGTGCTGCTTGACGAAAAAGTTTGTTTTAGAGCAGTGGCAAATGTACGCTTATGTAACAGAAAAAAACTGAAATTGTTTAAAACAATGGCACTGCTCAAACAAAGTTAGCTCAGTAACAAATGCACATTCTACTTACCATAAAGGAAAATTGTGTTATGGCAAATGGCTTCTTGTTATCAACAATTTCAATATATACACTTCAAGATACCGAGTTGACATATAATGGAATTAAATTTATTAAGATTGTAGTTATATGGACTATAATCTTTAACTCTGAGTTGAATTCTTTTAGTTGTTCAGGTGGGAAAACACCCATGTGGGTAGTTGATTTAGTGGTGTTATATTTAAGATTCTGGAAAATGTTTTTAAAATTCCTAATCAATATCAAACCATGGAAAGTCCTGAGATTTGTAGTCAAACTCAATCTGTAAAATTTGGCTCTATTCATTAATTCTATGAGCCTGCTTCCTCTCATGGGGTAATAATGCCTGCCTCACAGGATGGTTGTGAGGATTAAATGAAGTTGTTGTAAAGTGCCATCAAGTCAGTTTTGACCCATAGCGACCCTGTATAGGGTTTCCGAGGAGCAGCTGTTGAGCTTGACCTGCTGACCTTGCAGTTCAAATGTCTTTGCAGTCTGGTGCATTAGCCCACAGCGCCACACCAGGACTCCATTAAATTAAATTTTGTTTTGTTAAGTGCCGTCGAGTCAATTCTGACTCATAGCAACCCTATATAGGGTTTCCAAAGAGCAACTGGTGAGCTTGAACTGCCGACCTTGCAGTTCAAACAGACTAGTGCTTGTAAAATGCTGACTTTCATCTGGAGAGTGGTAGGTATGCAGTGAAAGTAGTTGGGGTGGTTTTTGCATCATGATAAGCATCCTAGATTGCAATAATACTAAAAGTCCTTTTGCTTGCGTAACAAAAACACTTATTCAATGTATACTGTGTGCTGGGCATTAGAGATGTATCAGTACAGGCTCTGCCTTCGAGGAAATGACAGGCAAGGAGGCAAAGGTAAACAACTGATCCGTGATTGTTGTTATTAGGTGCCATTGAGTCATTTCTGATTCATGTTCACCCTGTGCACAACAGAAAAAAACACTGCCCAGTCCTGCGTCGTCACCACAATTGTTACATTTGAGCCCATTGCTGTTGTCACTTATCAATCCATCTTGTTGGGATCTAACTCTTTTTCAGTGACCCTCCACTTTACGTGATACATGATACAGGCGTGGAAACACATCATGGACAAGTTCAGAGGGAGGGCATGGCCATAGTTACTTCACTTGAGAGTATAACATAGCGGTGTTTTTTATTCATTTCAAGTACCTATGATGAAGTCCATGGGTGGTACAAAAAATTAAGCACTGGGCTCCTAACCATAAGGTTAGAGGTTCGCCTCACTTAGACACACCCTGAGAGAGACCTAATGATCTAGTTCTTAAAAATCAGCCATTGAAAAGCCCACGGAACACAGTTCTGTTCACACAAATGGGCCTGTCATGAGTCAGAATTGACTCCACAGCAACTTGTTTGGGTGTTTTTGGTTTATGTATCTCTCAGGAAGTTGCTTGCAATGTTATATTTTTCATCAAGAGTTAGGGAATGGATGGAGAGGATTGAGAAGCAACGTTGCATGAATTTGACTGGTTGACACTGATTTAGTGGGGAGGCTTGGTCACCTATACTAATATCAGCTTGGAAAGTGATGTTGACCTTGACTTGGTAAGAGTTGAGAGTGAGTGAATGCTGCTTTCTTTTTTCTTTTTAGTTAAAAACAGTGAAAGAGGCTCTGAACATCCTGACTCCCTCTGGACCAACCAAAAGCTTTTATCCCTTGACATTTGTCCAGGTGAAACAGGTAGGCCTTCAGAGGTGATGTTTCCTGATCATTTTTCCACTTGCTAAAATGGGCTGTTTGCCCTGCTTTGTAATTCCTGTTCCTAGTGCAAGGACCAGAATGGTAAGCAGATGACTGAAATCTCAGGTATATTAACTGAATTTTCAGGCTCTCTTTAGCTCTTAGTACTGCATAGTGGATTGATCTTCTCTATTGTCTCTTCGTGTTTCATTACAACAAATAGGAAGTAGTTGAACCTGCTTCAAAATAATTTTGTATAAGATAAAAGTTGAGTGCGACTGGTCTAAATACTTTGTATTTATGGGTATCTGGGGGGGAAATTTTTCTTTTAACACTCAAAAAATACAATCTAATTGTGTATCCTTAGTTAAGTCAAAGGTATAAGGACTGTGTTCTTAAAAGTTTATTTTTATTTCCCTAGCATTTTATTTTGGCAAATTTCAAGTTAAAAAAAAAAAAAAATTACAAGAAGAGTACAGTGACTACCCACAGTTCTCTTTCTTAACCTAGATTCACCAATTGTTAACAGTTGCTATATGTGTTTTATCTTTCCCTGTGTGAGTGTACGAGTTTGCTGGGGTTTTTTTTTTTTTTTTTTCTTTTTTCTTTTGAACCTTTTGAGTTAGTTGACAAAATCCTGACATTTTATCTCAAAACATTGTAGCAGTTATCGTCTAAGAAGAGACATTTTCTTACATAACCACAGTGCAGTGCTTACACTAAAAGAAAATAGCATTGATACCACCTGTTATCTAAGCAAGCATTCTACTTTCAGGTTCCCCTGATTGTTCCAACAATTTATCATTTATAGCTTTAAAAAAAAAAAAATCCACTGTGTAATCCACTATCACGCACTGCATTTAATTATAAAGTCTTTAGCTTTCTTTCATCTGAAAGTGTTCCTAAATCTTTTTTTACTTCTCTCATGACATTTTATTTTCTTAAACTTTTTTATTGCCAGTGAAACCTGAGGAGGATGCAAGCTGCAGACAGCAGAGCTGTTCCTCCCTCAGACCCCTGAGGCCTCACCTCTACCTTTTCAGGAAGCACTGCCACCTCCTGGAGACAAAGGGCTCTGCAGCCTCTGAACTAGCACCCACTCCTCATTTATTGACATGGCTAGGTTTAAAAGACCAGGTTGTTATGCAAAGATTAACATTACGTGAAAGTGGAGGATGACTATGTCATTGCACAACTGCCGAATTACATCATAACAAAACTGCTAAACCATTGAGGATCACGGCCCTGCCAAGCTGACCTTAACCATCACAGCCAGTGTTAACATCATCTCAAATCTTAGCACTCATTACTGCTAGATGTATATCATTAATATGCAAAACAGTTGGATAATAGATTTTTTGCTATGTTTGTAAATGAGAAATGATGGGTAACAAGGTGGTAACTTAGTGAGGAGTAGTTGTCATTTAAAAAAATGAATGATATTTCTAGATACAAATTTGTAAATGTTGCATGTAAACTCATATATATAATAGAGAACATGTTGTTGTTGTTAAGTGCCATAGAGTGGGTTCTGACCCATGGCGACCCTGCATAGGGTTTCCAAAGAGCAGCTGGTAAGCTTGAACTGCCGACCTTGAGGTTCAAATGGACTTTGCAGTCCAGCGTATTAGCCCACAGCACCACACCAGGACTCCAATAGAGAATATAGGTACACAATTATAGAAACAACTTAGATATCGGGACTGAACTACTGGGTTTAAACACTAAGGACCATAATCTTGAGGAGGGGAGGGGTATGACATCCTAGTCTGGGAAGTAGCTTCTGGGATCTTAAAAGCTTAAAACCATATAAGAAGCAAATACTGTTCTCTTCTTACTTAGAGTACAGGAGAATGAAGAAAACCAAAGACTCAAGGAATCGATTTAGTTCACATGAACCACAGCCTCCTCTAGCCTGAGATTAAAATGAAATGGTGCCTGGCTACCATTATTGCCCACACTGACCAGGACCACAATAGAAGGTTCTAGTGAGAAAAGAGGGAACATTTGGAACAAAATTCAAATTCAAGGAGGGAAAAGCAAAACCAAACCAAACTTAGTGGTCTAAGAGAATGAAAGTTCCCCTGAGATTATTGTCCTACAACAACCTTCTAACTTGAAACTGATGACACTCCCGGAGGCCACATTTAAGCCAATTAATAGACTGGCCTATAAAATAAACAACACCCGGGGAGATTATGCTTCTCAGAACATCAATTATATGAGACACAAAGGGTAACATCTGCCCAAATCCAAAGATGAGATGGCAGAAAGGTACATGGAAACTTATTTGATATATATGATGTGATTCTCCCAAGTGGCCCTGGACCAATCACTTAGTCTGTCTCTGGTGTCATTTCTTCATCTGTACAAGGGATGATTTTACACATACCTTGATGTTTTCTGCTGTGGTAATCATTCTGTAATAAAAGACTAAAGCCAGTCCCCTTCTTTCAGATTGAATTTTTGCTGGAGGTAGGGGAGGCTTTTCATTCTTTCTGGTTTTAGAAACATCACTTTTCACATACACATCAAGGGTAACCAAGTTCTCTTAAAATGAATGGCTGGAGTGATGTATTTTTCTTCAATCCTTTTTTTAACTAGTATTTTGGATTTGTGTTGTACCGAACAACACTTCCTAAAAATTGCAGTGACCCGACACCTCTCTCTACAACAACAGTCGATGGAGTCCGGGATCGGGCCTATGTTTCTGTGAATGGGGTAAGAATTATTTCTGACCTGTGCATTTCTACTTTAATCGGGAGAGGAATGTAATGTGGCATTTGAGGACTCTGTACCCCTTTCCAGCCTTGGGTTCCACTCCCCTTGGGCTTGCCTTTTGGGCAGCACTTTGCTGGCTGTTGTGGCCTCACCCCTGCCCCATCAGCCTTAAATATCCCTCCCCCATCTTAACATGGAGAGCTGCACTCTAGGCTTCCTATCCCCACACCCGCCCTCTCACCCCCAAAGGCATCTTCTGACTAAACGGAACATCTTGCCCAAGAGTTCTTCCCTCACTGGACTGAGCTCCTTGAGTACAGGGTCCATGTTCAATCCAGCTTTGTAAGTGGCACTGATTCATTTAGCCTTGTGCCTTCATCCTATGTGAGAAATTGTATTCTGAAGGATGTTTTATGGTCATCGTAACTAAAATAAACAAAGAACTTTGTTTCATAATGAAGTACAGGTCCATTTTAGGATTTATATTAACTGAAATCAATATGTGAAAGAACACATGAAGAGATTTTTCTAACAAGAATACTTGTTCAGAAAACTGAAAATTAAAACAGTTCCATTCTGTGATATGCAGTGCTTTTAATTTCAATAGAAGCAAGTTTCTAAAACATTGTTATACAGATGTGTTTTTGTGTTTTAACTTAAATTTGTCTTAGTGAATTTTTGTCATGTTGTATCCATTTTTAAAAATCTAGCCTTTTTAAAAAATTAGGAAATCTGTTACTGATAAAATGTCTGTTTATTCCTTCATGCTCTTATATAATTTTTGTGGTTAATGTAGTTTATCAAGTCTTTGAGGTGAGATTACCCTAGCTAACTGATTTTATCTTCATTTATCTGATTTAGTCTCATCTCTCCATGTTGTTTAAAAGCTGTTTTTCATGTGACTGATTTATGTTCTATGAGAACATGAAGTGAGTGGTCCCAATAATATGTGTCTTCCTGAACATTTGCCCCATTCTCTTCCCATTAAAAATAGATGAGCAGCAAAACATCCCAGAGCAAAGGAAACCAACCTAGACCTTTTTCCTTGATTTGAGCTGTCTGATTACTTTCCTGTTTAGAAGCCTGCCGAGGGAACTTTGCCATGTGGCTGGTGATTAGGCTGAGGGACTAACAAGCATTCCCTACCAATCCAGTGAAACTTCAAGGCTGCAAAATGAGTGCTAAATCAACTGAGTGTGCTGTCTTCCTTTGCTGATTTTCTTAACCAGTCATTTCTCACTTGGTCTTGAACCTACAGGTCCCCCAGGGAATCCTTGAGCGTAACAAGGTGACCACTCTGAACATAAGTGGGAAGGCTGGAGATACTCTGGACCTATTGGTAGAGAACATGGGCCGTGTGAACTATGGCAGCTATAACAATGATTTTAAGGTAAGACAAGCAGACCATATAGGCACTCGAATTATTGGGTTGTCCGCTGTCTTACTGCATATATGTTGGTCTCTTTGCTTTTCAGTGAAGACACTGTTTGTGATATGCTTAAGAACCAGCAGCACCAAAGTCAGAATCATGTCTTCAAGGTCTGCTTCAAGCCAGGATTCTGATTGCCTTGGCCTTCTCTCTGTCATCAGTTAACTACAAGGAGCTTCAGACTTCTAGAATAGCTAAAGAGTTCTTTAACAACTCTTCTGTGCCACTTGTAATTTCTAGTTTTCTGCTGAAATTTTTAAGTTTGAATTCGTCCATAAATTGGGTGAACCTGGTTGTTGTATAGCTCATGTTTGAAATTTTCAGTATCTGGAGCCACTGGGGATTGACTTCTTTTGTCTTTTTTTGCTGATTCATATTCATAGTATCTTACTTCCTCATGTGCCTAGTTATTTTGCATTGTGTTTTGCACTCTGTGTTTGAAAAAAAAAAAAAAAAGTTTTAGAAGTAATTTGAAGCCTGGGATGATTTTTGTTTATTTCTGTAAGCTCCTGAATATACTAATCATCTGGGGATCACCTTAAGTTAGGCTTAAGATTTTTCATACTGTCTAAAAATCATGAGGCCTGGTAAGAGTATCTGTCAAGACTCATTTAACATCTAGGTCACCCCTAGTGGATCCAACCCAAGGTGAAGAATAGGAGAGTGGTTTTACAGGGCTCTAGCTTTCTGATTTTTATCTCCCTTGATCCCATCAGGTTCTCCCAAAAATGTGACTCTGTTTCTTACTTCCCGTTTCCCAATAGCAGGTTCCTCTAGGGCAAGAGTGGGACTTTGGGGCTCATCTCTCTGGGTTCCTGCCCTCTCATACATCTTGACCCATGAGTTTCTCATTCTCTTATTAGATCTTAAATGCCTTTTGGAAGAGTAAAAAAAGTATATATCCCATCTAAGTTTTTTTGTGAATTGACTGAACATTCACAGAACAGCTTTACAGTCAACAAATCATATGCTTTGCTTATTAATTACTATGATTGTAATCTCTTCTGTGTACCATCAATGTTTACCTCTATTCACTTTAATTCTTTAATTACTCCCTTTGTCCCCCACTCCCCTCATCTTTCCTCTGTCAGCCTTCCTCTTGTATATTGTCTGCCCTGCCATCCATGTTAGCATGGGTCTACCTTCTATGAATAATTTTCCTTCCTGGCACTGTGACCATCATAGAATGTTTCTTTTATCAAGAAAGCTTTTCCTTAACTTTTTACAACAGTGGTCTCGTAAACAATATTTGTCCATTTTGGAGTTAACTAATTTCATTCAACATAATGTCTTCCAGGTTCATCCATGTTGTGAGGTGTTATACAGATTCATTGCCATTCTTCAACTTTGTATCGCATTCTATGTGTGTAGATACCTAAGTTTGTTGAATCATTCTTTGTTTATAGCTATTTAGGTTATCTCGATCTTCTTGATGTGTCTCTTGTAGAGAGCTTAGTGAGGAATCCTATTTTCTTGTCCATGCTGCTCTCTCTCAACTGGTGCATTTAATCCATTGACATTCAGTATAATTATGAATAAGTGTGCGTTGTCTGCTGTCATTTTGCTGTGTGTTTGTTGTTTTTTTTTGTGTGGTACTGTTAGCTTCTTTGTTTCACATAATTTCTATGCTGAGTTCAATTTTTTGTGGGTTTTCTTTTTCAGTTTCATTTTTGTTGTGTTAATGTTTATTAAATCTTTCTGATTTTCCTCTTTGAAGGTGTGTTTTCTTTAAGGTTACCATATAATTTATTAATTCCTCTCCCCCCATTTAAAACAGTTTTATTTTGAAATCTACTTTATTTCCTCACCATTTGGAAGCTCTTATGTATTTACTCTATACCCTCTTTTTGCTTTGCAGTTGACTTCATTATAAATCTATATCTCTGGTTTCCTATTTTTGGTTCTGGTTTTACTTTAAATACTTTTGTATCTGGGTTGAGTTCTGGATGGTGTTGTTATGTATGTTAATCTCAAGTTGTTGTCTACTGTTGTTGGTTCTCAGTCCAAGGAACACCTTTTAGTATCTTTTGTAAAGTTGGTCTGGTTATTATAAATTTCTTTAATTTCTGTTTATCTGGAAATGCCCTAATTTCATCATCATATTTGAGGGAGAGCTTTAATTGATATATGATTCTTGGTTGGCAATTTTTTTCTCTCAGAGTTTTGTATATGGTGTCCCATTGCTTTCTTTCCTGCTTGGTGTCTGCTGAGAAATCAGAGTTTAGTTTTATTGGTTCTCCTTTTTTAAGTAACCGTTTGTTTTTCCCAAGATGCTTTCAGGATTCTTTCCTTGTCTTTGGCTTTAGAAAGTTTATGATATGTCTTGGTGATTTTCTTTTGGACTATATTCTGTTTGGGATTTGTTCGGCTTCTTGTATGCTTATCTTCTTGTCTTTAATGATGCTAGGGAAGTTTTCTTCCAACAATTCTTCAACAATTTTCTCTGTGCTTTTTATTTTCTCTTCCTGTTCTGGAATTCCTTTAACCCATAAGTTATTCCTCTTCATGGTGTCCCACATAACTCTTAAGCTTTATTCGGATTTTTTCATTCTTTTTTCTGATTGTTCTTCTAGCATACTAGTATTGATAGATTCATCTTCAAGCTCACTAATTTGGGTTTCCATTGCTTTGAATCTACTCATCGTCCTTTCAATATACTGTCCATTTCTGAAAATCTCAGTATTAATCTTCTGGGCTTCAGATTTCAGTTTTTGTATTATTTAAATTTTTGCATTTAGTTTGACTGTTTGTTCTTGTAGTGATTTCCTGAATTCTTCTAAAGTTTTTCTGTGTTTTCTTTGCTTTTTGTGATTTTTCTGTCAATCCTTGAAGGTACCAAAATATCACTGTTTTTCAGTTAGTTCCATTACCTTTTCTTTCTCAGAAACATTTTCTGACTCTGAATTTTCATTTGTTTTAGCCATTCTCTCTTGTTTCTTTTGTGAGCTAAAACTGCCTGTCGTCTCTGGGATATCATGATGTTGTATATTTATTTTATTGATGATTGTATGTTGATGTGTTCTTAGGCTCACACCAACTATCTCCTGTGGTTGTAGTTAGAGAATGGAAGCATGTGCACAGTTCTCTGTTTGCCCTTCATGCCTCTCTGTTTGGGTGGGTTTGACTGCTGTTGGCTGTTGTCTGTCACTGACTAGGTGGTGTGGTGGTAGTGGTGGTCCTGTACCATGGAGTAAGTTCCGACTAATAGTGACCCAGCATAGGGTTTCCAAGGCTGTAAATCTTTATGGGAGCAGAAAGCCTCATCTTTCTCCTGCATAACAGCTGGTAGTTTCGAACTCCTGACCTTGAGGTTAGCAGTCCAACTTGTAACCACTACGCAATAGGAGCTGGTATTTTTTCTTGCCCAGTGGGTGTGCCTGCAGAGAGTACTGATGTGGCCGGGCTATAAGGGCACAGTTACTGCCTCTTGTCTTTTGTAAAGAGGAGAAAATCCCCCATCACACACTCAACAAGAAAACAAAACAGAGCAAACAAGCAACCAACCATGAAAAATAATAAAGGAGAATAAAGAAAAACAGGCAGCAACCAGAAAAAAAGAAAATGGAGCTATAGAAAAGACAAATAAGAGAGAAAATAAATGGAAGAAATTTTTTAAAAGCACCTTAGAAGTACCCAGAGAAGGAAGATGAAAAGAGAAAAAAAATAGAGAGTAGCAAAGAAAGATCAAAAGGAGAAAAAAAAAATAGAAGAGGGGAAATGAGAAACAGACAAAAAGAAGAAAAAGAAAAAGCAGAGATAGAAAAGATAAAATTTAAGGGAATGTCCTGGTGTGGCGCTGTGGGTTAATGCGCCAGACTGCAAAGCCATTTAAACTGCAAGGTCAGAGATTCAAGCTCACCAGCTGCTCCTCAGAAACCCTATATAGGGTTGCTATGGGTTGGAATCACTCAATGGCACTTAACAACATCAACAGAGAAGAAGAAGAAGAAAGAATAAACAAAGAACAATGAAAAGAAAAGTACAAAAATTCTAAACAAAACCTCGAATATCCTGGCTTGTGCATTGCCTGCTCCCCTGTGCTCAGCTCTAACGGGGGAGTCAGTGGCAGGATGAACAGCAATCTCACGCTCTTGTAGGAGGGCTGTCCTAAGGGTAGGGCTGGCTCTTAAAGGCAGGAGAGGACACTTTTTAAAAACAGTGCCACTGTTGGACCCGGAGGGTAGAAAATCCTGGGAGGCGCCTGCCAGTCAAGGAGCTCTCACCAAGTGAATTCCAGAGAGCTGGGACTATGGAGTTCCATGACCTATTTAGAGTTTTCTATGTTCAGGGCCCTCCTCCATCCAGAAATAGTTCCTGGAGGCCCTTGATGGAGTTGGTTTCAATGTTTTTTAGGACCACAGTGCAGCTGGGCAGGGTGGCTGGTTATGAGGGTTTCTGCTAGACTAATACTGATCTGGTGACTGTGGGTTCTGTAGGTCTGCAGTCGATCCCCCTTGAATCTAGGCACCAAAGTGACACAGCCACCCCCTGCCTCACACTGGGGTGGCTCACAACAACACAACATTGAACTCCTGCTGAGCAAGGTCACTGCTGGGGGTAGATGAAGGTGGGAGCTGTTACCAGGAAAGCATTGAAAATAAAGAAGGAATCACACTTTTCCTATCACCTGAGCAAATCTGTCCAGACTACCTTCTCTTGCCAGAGCTGCTCACTAGTGTTCAAGGTGGCTGTGCTGCATCGGACTGGCCATTTGTCAGTCAGTCTCTTTCTCTCATCATCCCTGCTCCATTTCTCCTCCCAGCAAGCACTCAGCCCACTTCTCAAACCTTTCCTCTAAAGTTCAGGGTTCCAGAATTTTCATCTATGTCTGTTTTATTCGGTCTCTCATATCTTTGAGGGATCACATAGTGACTCTGCCTAATCCACCATCTTGCCGAAAGTCTTCATTCAGGTTTTTTAGTTGGCTTCAATTAGTCTGCCTTTGTCAGAAGCAGAACTTA